ATTTAAAACTATACCCATAACATTGCTGATCATGTGCCTTACCCAAATACTAGGGAAATTTCGAGAGAGTTTGTGATTTATTCCTCCTAGTTCTCATTCCCCAATGACTGATATTCCATTAATCTAGCGGTGGTATATGGTAGGCTATAGAATAGTATGTCTGGTCTTTGAAAACTGTTCCAATAACCTTCTTTCGATATAAGAGATTAGAAACACTATTATCTGTGCCATTATTTTACTTACTTACTTACTTACGCCTGTTACTCCTAATCGAGCATAGACCGCTGACCAGCATTCTCCAACCCACTCTGTCCTGGGCCTTCTTTTCTAATTTCATCCAATTCTTGTTCATTTTTCTCATGTCTATCTCCATTTCCCGGCGTAATGTGCTCTTCGGTCTTCCTCTTTTCCTTTGGCCTTGAGGATTCCATGTGAGGACTTGTCTTGTGACGCAGTTGGGTGCTTTCCTCAATGTGTGTCCTATCCACTTCCAGCGCTTCTTCCTGATTTCTTCATCCTCTGGGATCTGGTTTGTTCTTTCCCACAGTAGGTTGCTGCTAATAGTGTCCGGCCAACGGATCCGAAGTATTTTGCGTAGACAACTGCTAATAAACACCTGTATTTTCTGGATGATGGCTTTCATAGTTCTCCAAGTAGAACTGTCTTGACATTTGTATTGAAAGTCCTGACTTTGGTGTTAGTTGACAGTTGCTTTGAGTTCCAGATGTTCCTCAGTTGTAAATATGCTGCTCTTGCTTTGCCGATCTGCGCCTTCACATCTGTATCAGATCCACCCTGTTCATTAATGATGCTGCCCAAAATATGTGAAGGTTTTTACATCTTCCAAATCGTCTCCGTCAATTTTGATTGGATTGGTGCTTGCTGTGTTGCATCGTAGAATCTTGCTTTTCCCTTTGTGTATATTGAGACCTACTGCTGCTACACTGATCGTCTTCTCCTGCACTTGTTGTTGCGTTTGGGATAGAAGGGTCAGATCATCTGCGAAGTCTAGATCGTCCAACTGCATCTTAGATGTCCACTGTATCCCGTGCTTCCCTTCAGATGTTGACGTCTTCATGATCCAGTCGATCACCAGAAGAAAGAGAAAGGGTGGGAGTAAGCAACCTTGTCTGACACCGGCCTTCACTTCCAACAAGTCTGTCAACTATCCTCCATGCACGATTTTGCAGTGTAATCCATCATAGGAATTCTGTATGATATTGACTATCTTCTCAGGTACGCCATGCAGTCGAAGAAGCTTCCATAGTGTTGTTCTGTCCACGTTATCAAATGCTTTTTCGTAGTCAATGAAGTTGAGGTAAAGTGATGAATTCCATTCAATTGATTGTTCCACAATGATCCATAGAGTTGCGATTTGGTCTGTACACAATCTATCCTTATGGAATCCTGCCTGTTGGTCACGAAGTTGGGCGTCTACGTAGTCCTTCATCCTGTTTAACAATACCCTGTCGAAGACTTTTCCCGGTATTGAGAGAACAGTGATGCCCCTGTAATTATCACAGTTGCTGAGATCGCCTTTCTTTGGTATTTTGATCAGGAGTCCTTCTTTCCAGTCTGTTGGTACTTGTTCCTCATCCCAAATCTTATTGAAGAGAATGTGGAGTATCCTTGCAGTTGCCGCTACGTCTGCCTCCAGTGCCCGTGCTGGAATGTTGTCTGGTCCTGCTGCTTTGCCACTCTTGATTTGCCTGATGGCCATGCTTATCTCTTCAATTGTTGGTGGGCCAACATTGATTGGGAGGTCCGTGGGTGCTGCTTCGATGTTGGGTGGGTTCAGTGGGGCTAGTCGATTCAAGAGTTCTTTGAAGTGTTCTACCCACCTGCTTCGCTGTTCCTCAATGTTGGTGATTACCTCGCCTTCCTTCCTTTTCACTGGCCATTCTGATTTACGATGATTTCCAGAGAGTTTCTTTGTCGTGTCATACAATTGTCTCATGTTCCCTTCTCTTGCAGCCTATTCCGCCGTCATTGCTAGTTCTTCCACATATTTACGTTTGTCGGTTCTGATGCTCCTCTTCACTTGTTTGTTTACTTCCGTGTATTCAGCTTGTGCCTTGGCTTTCTCTGTTCTTGTTCGACTGGTATTGATTGCTGCCTTCTTGTTCCTTCTTTCTTGAATCTTATCCAGTGTATCAACAGTGATCCATTCCCTGTGATGGGGCTTATTGTGGCCCAGAACCTCATAACATGTTGAAGTGATTGCCTCTTTGATCCCCTTCCAGTTGCTCTCCATAGTAGTTCCTTCTACATTGAGTAGATCATGAAAGGCCTGGGACTTATTGCTGAGGACTATCTTGAATTCGTTGAGTTTGTCAGTATCCTGAAGAAAGGCCGTTTTGAACATCTGTGATGTTGTCCGCCTCGCTATGCAGTGCTTCTTGAGTTTCAATTTCATCTTGGTGATCAGCAAGTGATGATCTGATGCTATATCAGCTCCTCTCTTGGTTCTCACATCCTCCATCGTCCTCCCGAACTTTTTGATAATGCAGATATGGTCGATTTGGTTCTGTGTAGTTTGATCCGGTGAAGTCCATGTGGTTTTGTGTATGCGTTTATGTGGGAATATGGTGCCGCCTATGACCAGCTTATTGAAGGCACATAGATTTGCAAATCTCTCACCATTTTCGTTTCTTTCTCCCAGTCCGTGCCGTCCCATGATGTCTTCATATCCAGTGTTGTCCGTTCCAACCTTGGCGTTGAAATCTCCCATTAGAATGGTCAGGTCCTTTGTTGGGCACTTCTCGACGATTGACTGCAGCCTATTGTAGAATTGATCTTTAGCGTCTTCATTGTAGTCGTTGGTAGGCGCATAGCATTGGATGATGTTCATTGAAATACCCTCTTTCTTTGTTTTGAAGGAGGCTTTGATGATCCTGCGTCCATGAGATTCCCATCCTATAAGTGCATTTCGTGCTTGTTTGGACAGCATCAATGCAACTCCTTGTGTATGTGGTGCATTTTCTTCTTCATGGCCGGAGTATAACAGGAGCTCTCCTGTAGTTAGTCGTTGTTGTCCAACATGTGTCCAATGTGTTTCACTGATCCCAAGTACATCCAGGTTGTATCTTCTCATTTCTGCAGCAATTTGGAAGGCTCTCCCGGTGTCCCACATTGTACGAACATTCCATGTACCTAAATAAATGGTCGCTCTGGTTGTCAGAAGGGGCATCGGCCTCATAACTTCTGAAGGAACTCGGCTTTCATCATGAGGCGTCATAGTTCTTCTAAATGAAGACCTTCTGATTCCCAGGGCAGAGTTTAAAAGGTTCGAATCATTTTTTCTGGTTAGCGTTTTTTTTTGCGAGTTAGTTTTCTACGGGATGGGGACGCTAACCTCATGCCCAACCCTTCTCCTTTATCCGGGCTTGGGACCGGCAGTAGCCCCCGGAGGGATTCCAGGCGGAGCCATTATTTTATTACTTAGAAAAACACCATGGAACTATAAAAGTTGCCCAAGAGGAATGGCCTAATCATTCGATTACTTATTTTTTTTGAAGTCAAACGAGAAATATCTATAGGTACCAGTTTTAGAAATTTTGTCTTGTATCAGAAGTGTGCTAAACTCATCAAACAATCGTGTTTTGTGCAATTTCTAGACATTTTGCTGTTATGTGATAAAAACCCATTCAATATCAATGGTATTGCGACTACTTTTGAATTAACCAAGAATAATTAAATCTAGGTCTTGTTACTCGTTTGTAAAATAATGCATTTTAACAAGATTACATTACCGTTTCTTTTTGTATATATTATTTCCCAGTTTGTTTAATGATAAATATTCCCTACTCTAATAATAGATATAGTTTTTGTTATATCTCAATGAGTAGAAAAATCATATTTCTGACGTCAGAAATATCACAAAAACTATATTTATTATTAACTTTCTACCTAATACTCAATTTATTTGAAACTAACATATCCCCTACCTCATTCAAATTTCATTGACACAACCGTGCTTATTGGATTAGGAGATTAGTGGAGGTTGTACAGTTCTATGATAGTTCACACCATGGATCTGTAATTCCTTCAGGATATGGGATTGGACTTCTTGGTGCACTCAGCAACGTAACGAACTTCTGGAGTTTTAATAAGAAAGTGTAACGTGCGGATTTAAAGAAAATAAGGAAACATGACTACGGATGATAACGTATGTCACGATGTAATTCAAATTGACCGAAGTAGAAAAATATGAGCTGATAGATTTTGACTAATTGACTAAAATATATCATTCCTATTGCCACACTTAAAGTTATTGGCCTTGTGTATAAACACAGTCGGAGAGTTTCTAATCAACGCGAAATGGAAATCCAGCACTGTCGAAGATCCTAATGCTTATGTGACTACTACCAGACTGGGGAAAAACTAATAACGAAATAATATTTCTACTTATTTATTGAATAGATATTGAGATCATTATAAATGCCATCGCGTTATCCACTTAGCTACTGAGTCCTGTTAGCCACCTGCTTGTGCACTAGCAGCTGACGAGTCCCAAATGGGATGAAACGTGCGTCCTGGATTCTACTGCTAGCCACTATCCATTTTTGCTTATAATACTTGTGAATTAAGGCAATATCGAGGCACTACGCACAGTATGCACATATGCTAATAAGAGACTGATCAATTGCAGTCCTAAACATCAATGGGAAGATTCAAGTAAACAATACCAAGTGAGATATTCATATCATAAAAAATGCCAATGAAATTATATGAACCGTTCCTATCTTGGGAATGATGTTTCTGATCATAGCGTTTAAATCTGTTTGGTCCAACTTTTATCCAAGACAAGATTGGTGTGAAAAAATGCAATAATATTGATATGTTACTTCAACTATATCCCAAACACTGGTTACTTTGTCCTATGTTTAATAAGTTAGACTTAATCCATTGGTCATTAATTTTTATAGACAGATAAATACGTACAGATATATACATACAGACAAGATCGTTTGGTAACAAAACGATAGGTGGAAGTGGACATAGTATACAGTGCGATGTTATTCGTCTCTGTTTATTATTGCTGAGATGATCACAAATGTACATACATGCATGTAAACACTAATGATGTACCCATAGCAGTCAATTATTTTAAGTGTTTGTTCATTTATATTCTAAGTAGTTAACTTTTTGTTTACATTTTGCACAAATAAGAGTTTGGCAGGGATGTGCTTCTAATAACCTGTCGTTTTTCGCGGAAGAGTAGTACATATTCGCATTCGAAATCGGAAACATTTAAATTGCAGATTGCTTTATTCAGGAGCCTATCATTCCAACAAAGCAGACTTAAAAACTATTTTTAATGAAATCATGTGAACAAATGAATGCAAATACAGTGGAGAATTTTATATATTTTGAGACGCTAGTATAAAAGAATGGAAAACGAAAATCACCTCTATATGGGGAATCAATGAAAAAATTCAGATTACTAACCATATAACTATCTGCTTTCATACTGAGAACTTCTATTCTGGAATGTGCAATCAATGGAAATCACTTGGAATAATAATACTAACAGTAACACCGTTACAACTAATTCATCAGTACCAAACATTACTGAGACTGTTTTCACTAATAACAACACTGTTGGTCCTAATGACACTCCAAATGTCATTCCGAACAGTGATAGTAACATTTTAATGAATGATCGAGTCTCAGGAAATGATGTTAAGGTTACAGAAAATGGTGAGGGTGTTAATGGTTTGCGTAAACCACGTCGTAAAACATCACATGCTCATTTATTAAAGTCGAAAACATTCTACAAAACCGTAGACAGATTTCTAGGTCGAAATCTACCCTTGAAACAAGTAACAAATGCTTACAAAAGTCATTTAGCATCAAATAATCAACTTCCTAGTGTTGACCACATCTCAGTACGTAGCCGTGATTCAATAACAGACATCCTAGAAAAGTCTGTTTACATACCAGCATTTCTTAGAGCTCGCAGACATCATTGTCGTGTAGTACTGAATGTTGGTGGTGAACGACATGAAGTAATGTGGAAGACTCTAAGGCGTCTACCGTTATCTCGTCTTGGCCGGTTGAGTATATCAAATAATCCTGCAGAACTAGCTCAGTTGTTTGATAGTTATTCGAATGAGAAAAATGAATTATATTTTGATAGATATGCACGTTCATTTGGTTCAATCCTTGGTGTTTATCGTACAGGACATTTACATTTTTTGGAAGACATTTGTGTGGTGGCTTTTAAAAATGATTTATTCTACTGGGGTATAAATGAATACCAATTAGAAACGTGTTGTTATTATAAATATTATTTAAAAAAGGAACAGGTTCAAGAAGAATTAAAGAAAACTAGAGAAATAAATCTATCTCAGGCTCAAGAAGAACAATTTGGCACAGGAAGGTGGGCTACATTGAAAAAGTATGTATGGGACTTGGTTGAAAAACCTCAGACTTCAATGGCTGCTAGAGTAAGTTAGACATTGATCTTTTCAGTTGAACACTGATAGCAGATTGATTTATTCTGAAACAAGGCATTTTATTAATTAATATCGATTAATTCATTTGAATTCTTTAGTCCTTAAGTCAGTGATCACTTGGGATTACTGTACTTTGTGATCAACTGCAGCAATTTGAGTTTATTTTAGTGGCCCGTTAATCTAACTTCGATCTTAAAGAACGAATAAACATGCCATGAATAAAAATATTTCCCTATATTATACCTAAGCTAAAACCGTTTGTGAGACAGCGATGTTAAGATGACAGATACAGAATGAATCGGATTAATTTATTGCACGCACTGGTTTATTTAGACAGACAGACATTAAGAACAAGAAGTGGGAAAGTAAAACAAAGGTAGAAGAAAAGTGTGATAACTCCATTTGATAAAGCGTGACTCAATATTTATAGCCAGAAAAATTAGCTCCAGACATGTGATGAATAGGGTGAGAGATGCAAACATTCACTCATATAAAAGTATGATGAGTGAATAATTGACAAGGTGAAAATGGGACTCATGAAGAATAAATGAACTGCTCTGTCCGTAAGCCAGATTAACCTATGTGGAATTGACATAGTACTAGACAAAACTATATTCAATATATATTTACTTGAGCCTCTTACCCCTCGTGGAGGAGCATAGACCCTCCCTTAACAGTCTCCATCGAACTCTGTCCTGAGCAATCCTTTCCAGTTGTTTCAAGCTGCTATTCACCCTTTTGATATCTGCTTCCAATTCCCGACTCAATGTGTTCCTTAGTCTTCGCCTTTTCTGTTTTCCTTCAGGATCCCAAGTTAAGGCTTGCTTCGTAATAAAGTTTGATGATTTCCGTAGTGTATGTCCTACTCACCTCCAACGTCTTTTTCCAATTTCTTCTTCGGTTGAAAGTTGGTTTGTTCTCTTCCATAGTTGCTTGTTGCTGTTGCTATCCGGTCAACGGACATTGAGTATCTTACGTAGATAATTGTTCATAAATACTTGTACTTTTTATTATGGTTGTAGTAATTCTCCAAGTTTCAGCTCCGTACAGTAGAACTGTCTTGACGTTCGTATTAAAGATTCTGATTTTGATATTTGCTGACAGTTGTTCTGAGTTCCATATGTTCTTCAACTGTGGGAATGCTGCTCTTTCTTTGTCAATCCTTGTCTTTGAATTTGCATCAGATCCTCCTTGTGTATCGATGATGTTGTCTGGTCCTGCATCTTCCCCACTCTTGATCTGTCTGAGGGCTATGCTGATTTCTACGATAGTTGTTGGAGTGACATCTATAGGAAGGTCTATGGGTGTTGCTTCGATGTCCGGTGGGTTCAGTGAACTGGTCTTTTCAAGATTTCTTCGAAGTGCTCCACTTATCAGTTCCTTTGTTCTTGAATCTCGGTGATTGGTTTGTTTTTTGTCATTGACCAGTCTTTCTGGTTTACTTTCTCTGATTATACCTGTATGATTAGTAAAATGTCAGTTGGAAGGGAATACCTTTAGTTCGTGTCATTTTAAGGAGGCAGAAAGACAATTCTGTACGAAACATTACTCAAAATAAAAGTTTAAATGAAATTTTTATAAATATTTTTTTAGTTAATTTGTCCCAAGAACATAATTTAGATGAAGAAAACAATGAGAATCAAGAATCACTGATCAATTGTTTCTTCGTAGTTTGGTGAAGTTGTTTTCTACGAGACAGGGTTACTAAACCATTGCCAAAACCTTTCTCATTTCTCCAGGATTGGTTCCGCGAGTGAACATAGAAAGGCTAAAGTTGAAATTATTTTCATTCCCAGATGATATTTGATTAATGATCACATGACCTTTTCATATTCTGACTTGTTTTGGTAACTTTTTTCTGCTCAAGAAATAACATAGCCAGTTGTTAATTTATGCAAGAGATAATAGGTCCTGTATTACGAGCGTCTGATAATTGAATCACTTCAACCCTAGATACATCATTAAAAAGTGATTTCAGCATTTTTCGAAGCATTTTAATAATAAAAGAAGTCCGGTCATCCAATTTACGTGGTAAGGCCGAAACTCCTTGTATGTAACTCTAATGTTGAAATATCCCTATCTTTATCTTTCTATTGCTGTCAGTAGCAAAAGATCTTCTAATAACACTTACCGATTCTAAGAACGAGTGACGTTTCGCCCAGTTGTATTCCTGAAGAGGAAAATGCGAAGCCATAATAAGATATAATTTTTCATGGTGTTCTTGCCATTACAATTTCATTATATATCAAAGAAGAAACTTTAAAGGTCGTTAAGCATTAAGTACTATATGGAATATGTTTACTCCAATACGGCCGAGCTGATTTTCTGAAAACGTTTCTAGTGATGGGACATTTTCGCTTCACCGGACTGATATTATTTCGTTATTCCGAGAGAAGGAATCTACTAGCTGGTAGTGGCTATCAGTTATGTTTTTCGGCTACACCGTAAATCACATGATGTAAATAGACAAGTGATTGGTTTGTTCTTTGTCATTGACCAGTCTTTTTGGTTTACTATCTTTCCCTGACAGCTTCGCTGTATTTTATGGTTGTTTCATTTTTCTTTTTGTTACAGCTTTTTCCTCTGTCGTTGTTAGGCATTCCACGTATTTCTGATTATCGACTCTCATGCTCCTCTTCACTTGCTTGTTTTCTCTTGTGTATTCAGCTTGTGCCTTGAGCTTCTTTGTTCTTGTTCGGCTGCTGTTGGTTGGTGTCTTCTTGTTCTTCCTGTCTTATATCTTGCGCAGGTTATCAACAGAGGTCTATTCTATACGATGTAGCTTGCTGTATCCCAGAACCTCTTGACATCCCGAAGTTATCGATCCTCTGATCCTTTTCCAGTTATTCTTCATAGTGGTTTCTTCAAGCAGATCTTTTAAGGCTTGGAACCTGTCGCTGAGAGAGTGACTTTCGTAACCAATGGTTGGAGACTCTTGGTGACATGGCTCAGAATCGATCACAATGGCGTCGGTGTATACGCACCCTGTCTTCCCTTAAACTAAGAGATTAAAATCACTTCATATCTTTCTTTCTACGAACCAATTCTTTCTTCTTTTTGTACTATATCTCTATATGCAATCTTTCTCTTATATATTACCACCTTTGACCTAACCACTGCTGTGAATCCGGTGTTCATCTTGCTGTGCTAATGCGGTATGGCAACCTGGACCGATGCACATATGTGCCTGGTCCTACGTTGTAGCTGACTGACTGACTGAGAGATATCCTGAATTGATTAAGTTTGTCAATATGTCGAAGGTTGGCTGTATTAAACCTTTGTAATGCTGTTCGTCCATTTGTCTAGTGCTTCTTTAACTTCAGTTGCATCTTGTCAACCACAAGCAGATGGTGATCTAAGGCTATGTCTTCTCATCTCCTGGTTTTCATGTCTTCCATTGACCTTCTGGATGCTTTAGTGATGCAAATGTGATCGATCTGATTCTCTGTGGTGTGATCCGGTGTGACCCATGTAGCTTTGTAAATGCGTTTGTGAGGGAACGTTGTGCTGGGAATATTGTGTTGAGATCAGTCAGTTAAAAATAACTAATAAGGTTATATCTTCGCAATAAGTGGTGTTATTAAAATAGGAGAGAGAGAGAGAGAGAAGAAAATCACGAAAATTCTGTAATAAAGTGACGATAAAATCACAATGGTAAGAATATATTTGCAATAGTGTACTTTTGCATACATTAGTCCGGCTTTAGCCGTTTAATGGCCGTGACTGGCAAATTTGCGAAGGATGGTATTTGGCTGTCAGTTGATGATATTGAAAAATTTTAGTCTATCAACCTGATGCCTCGTACCAGAGCGGTGTTTGGTAATAGCACTGCTTAAAGGCTTAGGTCCCATTGACCTGAGACGTTTTGGTATATATTCTTGGAATCAGTCCTCAATTTCTCATCTTTTCCATTCTTAGGTGAAAATCTAAGCATTTTGATACATATTTTAATTTTTTTTATTTTTAGCTCATGATTTCGTTATATGACACGTTAATAGGAAGAAAAATTAATAGAAGCGATGACCATAAATCTTTAATATCATGAACTGTTAAAACATAATGCTATCTTTTGACGTTGTTAACAAAATTGTTAGAAAAATAATAACTATTGGATAATCTTTTGAATAATCCATTAGTTCAAAATAAATGTTAACTATAAATAACTTTTCATTCCAGATATTAAACTAATTTAATGAAACTATGGGTAAATCTTAGCCTTTGGAACTGTTAGTTCTTCCCTTTAGAGATTAATGTCCTGAGCAATTTTATGTGCATTGTCATACATTATTCTTTATTGAAGAATATTTTATCGCTTGTTAATCTATAGAATCATCAAAGACCATACCATACTACATTTCTCGTATAACCTTTCTTCAGACGCCTAATTCAAGCTAACTCAGCGAGTTATCTCACCAAAAACCTTTGGGTCTATAATTGATCGGTCATTGAGTAGTGATCAATGTCATGTTTGTCTAGTTCTTTTAGTGCTGATTGCATTCTTTCTGTCAAGTTATCAAGCGGCTATAGTTTAAATGACTCGAAATGACGTGCGGCATGTCAAGATGTTAGATGGTTGAAGGCAGTCAACAAGAAATCCTGGATCTGGGTTTTATGCTATTGGACACTCATCAGCAAAGTGCGCCTGGTCGCTGGAATGTGATCAGCGCTAAAGGACTAGATAAATATAACATTAGTCACTAATCAGGGGTCAATAAATTGTAAATATCTGTCCTACAGGATAGCTCATTGGTAATGCCTCTGACTAAGAATCTAGGTGACATGGAATGCAATCTGCCAGGGATCACTAGTCTCCTCAAAGTTAGAGGTACACGTTCCTAATGAGTGCCAAATAGCAAGGAGTCAAGACTGAGGGTTTCCTGCCAACTACTTTCAACCTCCTGATATCCTGAACTTTAAGTCTATTGGTTGACAAATAATTCAGGATCACCAGGGCCTCAGTTATTACTTTACGTTTCTAGTTTTAGTAAGTT